TGACACTCCATGATGGTGTTTCGGATTAGAGACATTTCCTTCACCTGGTATACAGAAGGATGGGGAGCAGCCAGCTCTTAGCACCTACCACCCCACCCAGAGCATGCTACCCACTGCTGGCCCACTCCAACCTGGTCTCGAATGTCATCCCGCAGCTCCACCAGGATCTGATTGAAGAGGGTGAGTTGGGTGACCAGCGCCTTGGTTTGCTCCCCTGTCAGGGCCCGGGGTGCAGAGAGGCTCAGAACTGGGACACCAGCCCTGGTCCCTCTTTGGATATATAAGCTAGCTCCTGCCACTGCTGCCCACTCCACCCCCACCCCCAACCTTTAAACTACCCCCCTATTCCTGGCTGAGGAGGACTTAGACTCAGGCAGCTGCCAAAGGCAGGAATCACACCCCCCCCCACACTCATGCCCCTTCCACCTCATCATGGCCTACTCACCTAGGATGGAGTGCAGTGCATTGGTCACTAGAGAGAAGAAAACACAATCAGAGGGTGGAAATGCGAAGAGGGGCCTGTCTGGTGAAGAGGAAGAATGAAAGGGACAGGAAAAAAAAAGGGCTGGAGCCTTGGAATAAAGATGGGATGTTGGATGGTAGGAGGTCAGAGGTGACAGGCAAGCAGCACTAGCTCTTTCCACAGGGCAAGGGACCCTCAAGGGAGTTGCCTCAGACAGTCAAAACGCAAACTGCTCTGATTTCCAGGCATGGCAGTGGCAGAAAGGATCCAAGTAAGGCAACCCAAAGCAGAGCCAGGGCCACGATATATTCCGTTTCCTCCCTCCCCAGCTTCTGCCTCAAGAGCACGTTCTTAGAGATATCTGGCAGAAGTGGGTGTTTTATTTAGGTAAGAGCCTGAACATCTGTGTCAGAAAGACCAGACAGATGGGCAATGCTCAAGAGAAATTGCTATTAGGTGACAGCCACCAATAGGAGGTAAAAGAAGAAGAAGAAGAAGAAGAAGAAGACCCTAGACGCTTATCTCAGGCAAACCCAAGACCAAGCAGTTAACATCCTCACCCCACTCAGAGTTCTTCACAGTTCTATTCTTCTCTTGCATAGCTTTATTTTTCTGGCTACCTTAGTAGGCAGGATGGCCTGAACAGGCAGATTTTTTGACCCACACCTTTTGTGATGGCATTATGATTTAGAGATCAGAATCAGGGGCGAAGAAGATTTAAGGTAAACAGGGTCAGAGCCCCAGGAATAGGTGAACCAAAGTAATGAGGGTTAAGGAGGAGGTCAAGAAAATGTGAGTCACCAAAGACCACAGGATGTGATCTGGGCTCGAGGATGTCAGCTAACAGAAGCCTCTGAGTTACCTGCACTGTGGATGGACTCGTCCCCCTGGAATGGACACTCACTCAGGGCTCCAACCCGGGCCATGGACCCGCCTAGAATCATTTTCATAGATTCCACGAAGCCCTGGGGACATAGGAGCAGAATAGGGTGGGAGGACCTACCAACTCCTCCCACTGGCGCAAACTCTGTTTCTACAGAAACTCACCTGCATTCTCAAATAAGCCTTCTGTCCAGTCCTAATCTCCAGTCCATCGACCTCTGCTGGAGGGATGGGGGCCAGTGCCGGAAGACCAGCATGCTGATCGCCCAGTTTGCAGTCCACATAGAGCTGCAGGCCAGGGCTGGGGTGGGAAGGGCCTCGGAGTCGCAGGAGAGCCGTGTGTGTGCGCCCATCGGCCAGGCCTGCTTGCTGTAGGTTCACTGCATGGACTTTGCCATCCTCCCGCTGGTACCGCACCAGCACTGCCCAGGAGGGGAGGTCAGTATGGGCACCGTCCCCCATCCCCGGTCTCCCAGTTGAGCCTTGGATCAACTCTTCTGGATGCCATATCTCTAGGGCTGTTATCCTATACTCAGCTACGAACCTCTCAACACCTTGGACATCATAGGCACACAATATATGTTTTTTAAATTGGTTCAAAGACTAGGACTTTCTTAGTCTTCAGTGGCATCAGTTCACTCAGTCACCTGCAAGGTGGCCGCTGGTTCTGTACCTACTGAACTTTCCCACTGATGTGAGGGACCTCTTTATACCCCTGCTGGGGCACAATGTCATGCCTTCCCCCTCCCCCAGGGCATCCCCAAGTACAACATCCCATCCCTACAAACACCAGGCTTCACCCTATTGTTTGGATACCTGGCCTTCTGAGGCACCTCCTAAGCTCTCCATACGAGGTGGCCCCTGGTGCCTGAGCACAGCCTGATAGGTCCATGGTCCCCAGTGGAGCCCAAGGAAAATTAAGAGGGATGTGGGAGTGGGGATAAGGGAGAGTGCTCAAGGGGATCACTGCTGCAGGAAAGGAGATGCCCGCCAGTCACCTTTGTTGATCTTGCCCACAACAGAGGCCTCCAGCCATCGTGTGTTGTCTTGGCGAGAGTAAAGGCCAAAGAGGACACCACCCTGCTTAGGAGGCAGGCGGAAGGTGGACAAGAGGTAGATGTCCCCAGCAGTGAGCAGGGCTGTCCGGATCTTCTCTGCCACAGCTACCATCTGCCGGGACTCACCCACAGTCAGCAGGTCAATCACTGGCCAGGCAGGGATTATCAAGGTGAGAGAAAGGAGTTAGATGGTAAGGCCCGTCCACTTCCCTGAGCCCTCAGGAGCACGGCACCCTTCATCACTCCCTCCACCCCCACTACCAGACAGTGTTAGATACCTCAAAATTCAACCCTTGCTGCTATTAGAGTACAAGATATTATGCCTTCCTTTCCCTCAACACTGCCTACTGCCACCCTCTGGGAATCACCAGGCCTGAGACTCATTTGGAAACATAGAAACAGTGCCCAGCATACTTGAGATGTCCCCACCAGGTGGCGCAAGGGAGTCATTGCTGATTCCAGGAGGCAGTAGCACCAGGTGCCCACAGCACAAAAACTGGACGGCGGTTTCTCTTTACACTGCTGGCTTTGGCTCATTCTACATCCTAATGCCCCTCCTCCCATCCTGGGGGCTCAGAACACTCACTCTGGATGAGAACAGCTGCCCACTGAGGGCTCGGACCCTCCCACTGTTTGGCTCTCTCCCTCAGAAATTAGGACCCAGCTCCTCTGCCTCCTGTGTCCTGGCCAATCTGTGGTTTCCCTTTCAGCCAGTAAAGAATCTGTGCCTGTGTCATCTGCTCCAGCTACCTCTCCCACACCCATAGGCCCATCTCACCACCAGACCTCCCGGAGAGCCAGACCTCTGGGTCCCAACCCCCACCCTGTCCTCGGGCAGCCAGCAGCCCAGGGGACGAAGAAGCTGAGGGGGCCACACAGTGCACCGCCCTTGCACTGCTCTCCCGGACTCTGGGGTGCCTGAGGATGCTCAGACACTGACCCAGCCAGGCAGCCCTAGCATCCAGCTCCTGAGTCCTCTGCCCTGGTCTCATGCTAACTCTGGCCAGTTCCTACTCACCTATCACCCTCCGGTGTTCACTCCTTCCCACAGGGCCATAATGCAGCATTTCTTCTCTCTGGCTCAATTTCAGGACTCTTCCCTTCCCCTTGCCCACATGTTCCCTGCTACTAGGCTGGGGGCAAAGGGGGAAGAGGCAGACAGGTCGAAAAGTTTGGAGATAGGCTTACCCTGCAGGTCCTGACTGGCAGATGCGAAAGTGCAAAGGAGGAGAAGAGCCAGGGCTCCCCGAAGTTCCTGTGTCTCCATACCGCTCAGCCGGCTCACTAACCCTGGCAGGCAGCGGCTGGGAGGGGAAAAGGCTAGGCGGAGAGCAGGAGCGGGGGTGGGGGTGGGGGGGTGGGGGGGCGGAGGGACTGGAAGGGGGAGTTGAAGGGGGGGCAGCAGGCGGGTGAAGGGGGGGCTGAAACAAAGAACTGCCAATCACCCTGGAGGCATCCCCAGCTCCAGGAACCAAGGGCACTGGGGAAGAGCATTGGAGGCCTCCTTGCCTTCTGCCTGCCTCTCTCCTTAATGGTCCTCTCATCCTGCTGCCTCCTCTCTCCCGACACCTCGTTGTTGGAGGCCACTACCAAATGCTACTGTTTTCTATAGGTCACAGTTGGGGGGAAGTGCCCGACAGTGGTCATTATTCCACAGCGGGCATGATAAGAAGCCAAGGGAATGGTGGAAACTAGATCGCTATAGTGTCCAGAGGATGCCCACAGGGCATGAAGTGTGTTGCTCTGACAAGGCAAGTGCTCTTTATTAGGGTGAGGGTCCCCTGACATGTGCCTGTACCTCCATTTTCCCTCATTCCTGGGAAAACCTGGAAGCGTCCAATGGGAACTGAAGGGAAAGTCTGAAACAGTGGTCAGTGAGGTCGGAGTGAGGAAAGAGGAAAGGGACACCAGAGACAGGAGAGGATCAAAGAAAGGGGGCCAGACTGGGAACGCCAGGGGTACTGGCTGACAGGCCGTGACCCGGATGAAGCCGAGGGGCGCCTCAGTTCCGTTACCAAGGCAATAGCCTGTCAGCCCCACCTCCCCTCCCCCCACCCAGGCCCTAGCCCGGCCTCGCTCTGGCGGCCGCCACCGCCCCTGTTTTGTTTCCATGGCGACAGGCGGCGCGGGGCCTGCTCCAAGCATAACGCGCTGTGGAAAACATGCGCCTCGGGGGATCCCCCCCGCATCCCCGGCTCAGGGCCGAGGCCTGAAGGGCCCTAGAGCAATCCAGGCCACGTGCAAGTTTGCGAGACACCCCCAGGACCGGCCCAGGGGCACGAGGCCCCCTTCTCCCGGGCCTACCACTCCTTCAGGGGTTCGGGGATTCGACCGGCCGAGGCGCCGTGACCCTCCGAGGCGCCCCAGGTCGAGCGCCCTTCCCCCCTTCTGATGCTGCCTCTGGATTAGGCGGCAGCCTCCCTCCCCAGAGGCCTTGAGCTCCACCTCCGCCACCAGGCCCCCTCTGGGCCACGAAACACCGCCCCCCCCTCCCCTGAAGCTTCTCTCAGCCCTCCTCCTCTGGCGACTCGGCGGAGCTGCGGCAGGGGGGCGGGTCCCTGCCGCGGCCAACAAAAGTGCAGAGCGAGGTGCTTCCGGGACAGAGGGCGGGCAAGATGGCGGCGCCCATGGAGCTGTTCTGCTGGTCTGGGGGCTGGGGTTTGCCGTCAGTGGACCTGGACAGCCTGGCGGTACTGGTGAGGGGTGGTGCCGGCGCCCTCTGCTGCTCCCTGAAGGACTAGGGAAGGGCCCTAACTAGCCGGTCATCTGAATTTTACCAGGGCGCTTCCGCACGGGTGAAGTGGGAGAAACTGAGGCAAAGAGCGTCCAAGGCTGATACGGGCTCAGTGTCCTATGCTTTAGAAACCCAGGTTTTGTGTAGCCATAAAAAAAGGCCTGCGCGGGGGTTCAGGATATGGGTTTTAGTCCTTGCTATTCCATTTACTGGCTGTGTGACCTTGGGACGATTCCTTCTCCTCTCTGGGCTCTGTTTCTTCATACTGATCTTTACTGAAGCTGAACAACCTCAGGGTTCTCAGGCTTGGCATTCCTATCTTCTCAGCCTCGCTTCCTCCTCGCTTTTCTCCCCGCCCCCACCCTCCTCCTTCTCACTAAACAGCATTTATTGAGCTTATTGTTTATTGAACCAAAAGGCCCAGAGCAGGGTTCTGTAGAAAGAGCTTTGGAGTCGGACTAGTTCATTTCACTCATTCACTCCTTCATTTAACAAACATGTATTAGGCCTCTTCCAAAGGCCAAACATTACCATACAAAAATAAATAAGACTTGGTCCCTCCCCTGGCGTTGTTTACAGAAAGGTAGAAATGTCTGCAAATAAATGTAACAAAATGTTCAGGTATTAAGGTGTAAGTACAAACAAGCTACAGAGACTGCCGAAAAAGGGCTTGGTCAGTTTTTACAAGAAAAGGGATAATACTCGTTAGAAAAAAAAAAAAACACCCTGAGGATCAATGTTCACAAGGTAGATGGTAGGAGAGGAGATGGCTTTTCCTAGCTGACTTGTAATCATGGACAATCCATAATCTCTGAGCCCTCTGTTGCTCATTGTAAAGTGGGCACAGTAACATTCACCCCTGTGTGTTTGGGTGTGTCAAATACTAAGCATAGGTCATAGCACAAAAGGTATTCAGTATGTTATTTCTTTTCTTGATTCCCCTGTGGGGCCATGTCTCTGGCCTCTCTCTGCCTTGTGCTTCCTTCCCTGCAGACCTATGCCAGGTTTACTGGCGCCCCACTCAAAGTGCACAAGATCACCAACCCCTGGCGGAGCCCTTCAGGTACCCAATGTCCTGGGGGGGTGAAGAAGGGAGTGTACAAGGGGAGAAACAGGAGACAGGCAGGAATGTAGTCCAAATATGTATGGATGGATAGCTAAGGGTTTGGTGGGCACACTTCTTTCTCAATGTCAGGAACTTTGCCTGCCCTTCGGACCAGTCATGGAGAGGTCATATCGGTATCACACAAGATCATCACCCACCTTCGAAAAGAGGTAGGTGGCTTGGCTAAGGGGGCTGCCAGAGAGAAAAGTTCAGTCAATTCAGTGCAACACATTTATTGAGTACCAAGTATATGCCAGGCTAAATGCAGGTGACCCAGAGCTTCAAGGAACACATAGTGTAATGGGGGAGGAGGGGCACACACATTGTTGGTATGATGCCATAAGTAGTAGGCCAGAGATTTAGCTGGGGCACTTTGGGGGCATCTGAAGGCACTGTGTCTTCTGCTTGCTGAGCAGAAAAGCAGAGATAAACAGGCTGATGAAAAGGAAGGGAAAGAAATGTAGAAGAGATCAGTTGACTCAAACAAGAACCTCGAAAGTGGGACCATTGCCTTTTTTCAGGGACCGGGTCGGGCAGGATATGGGACTCAGGATGGACAAGGCTTAGAGCCATGGTGGGGAAGTTGGAAGAGCGTTACAAGAAAGGGGAAGCCTAGGCTATGCTGTCTCCTTGACCTTTGGCAAATCACTTAACGTCTCAGAGCCCTAAGCTCCTTATTTGTAAAACTAGGGGACTTAGCTAGGATGCTTTCCAAGGGTTCTTTGAGCTTTTATGGTCTGATTCCAAAAAGAAACACATTGTGAGAAGTGGGACCCTCTTCTTCATTTCTACTTTCCCAAACATTAAGGACCTGGGGAATTAATGGAGGCTTGAGAGGCATGGAGAGGGGATCCAGGTAAAGTCAAAGTTCCTGGCAGGGACTGGGCCACTGCTGTTTTCTTATGTGTGAACACAACTTTTCCAGTTTCCAGGGGTTTTCCCTAACAGAGCCACATTGAGAGAAAGAGATTAGTACCTCCATTCCACAGGGGAGAAAACAAGGCTAAGAGAGATTTAAGGATCATGCTCGGGAGGTCACCTGGGGACAAAGTTTACTCAGGATGTGGAGGGAGTTGCCAAGCAACAGACACTGGAGCCTAGAAAGTTGAGGTAGCCTGAGACCTGGGGGTACAGTTGGAATGTGTGTGTGGTAGTGGTGGGGCCTGGGCCATGGAATGAAATAGAGGAAATGGTCAAGAGCTGGGCAATGAGAAAATGGGCGAGACGGCCCTGAGCCTAGGTTCACTGGGTCCCAGGAAGATGAGGATGTGTCCCCTAGTTCCTGAGGCATGGATGGAGGCTCAGCCTGCCTCTGAGCTCCACTCTGCTAGCTTTGTGGTGCCTGGATTGGGGAAGTTACTGTTAGAAAGTTGCTGTCAGCAGGCGTGTTGCCACCTTTCCATGGAAACTCTGGGAGCTGCTCCTGGTTTGCGGCTAGGCCTTCTTTCTTCCCTGCAATGGGCGCAGTACCTTGACAGCCAGCAGGATCCAAGGCCCAGGCCGTCCGCCAACACCAACAGGCAACTGGCTGTGCCCAGGCTAAGAGGCCTCAGCGGGAGAAACTCCTTCCTATACCGCTGTTGCACTCAGAGGCCAGTGAGAGTGGTACCAGACAGGATGCCCCTGGGAAAGTGCCCTGGAGTCCCCCAGCATCCACCCCATTGTGGACATTTCCTCCACAGAAGTACAATGCTGATTATGATCTGTCTGCCCGACAAGGGGCAGACACTTTGGCCTTCATGTCTCTGCTGGAGGAGAAGCTGCTCCCAGTGCTGGTAAGTGTGCCCAGACCTCCCAGTGTTCGTGGCCAGTGGGGTAAGGGGCCAGAGACGCACACACCCTACCCCTCACCCCTCACCCCCAGCCTTGGAGCAGCACAGGGATCAGAGGCCCAGCCTGAGTCAGGTAGGTACACTGGTTCAGACCTGCCTCTTTCTTTCTACATACCCGATCCAGGTACACACTTTTTGGATAGATGCCAAGAACTATGTGGAAGTGACCCGGAAGTGGTATGCAGAGGCTATGCCCTTTCCCCTCAACTTCTTCCTGCCTGGCCGCATGCAGCGGCAGCACATGGAGCGGCTGCAGCTGCTGTGTGGGGAGCACAGGCCAGAGAATGAGGAAGAGCTGGAGAAGGAGGTACCTCTGGGATAGGGAGCTATTGTAGAAGAGGAGCCCTGAGGCTGATGGCCAGGAGTGGGAGTGCCTTGGAGGGGAGGTGGCATGGTTCCCGAAGCCACAAGCCTACCTGTGTCTTCCCTGTAGCTGTATCAAGAGGCTCGGGAATGCCTGACCCTCCTCTCTCAGCGCTTGGGCTCTCAGAAATTCTTCTTTGGGGACGCGTGAGTCTGACTCCAAGGGAATAAGAGGGTGCTTGGAAGAAGATGAAGGTTCAGATGTAGCTGCAGGGGCTGGGGTGGGCTCAGCTCTGGACAAGAGGTCCTCGGGAGAGACACTGGGTCCAGTGACAGCGGGGCTGTGTGTGGGACCAGAGCCGCCTCAGTGGTACAGGAGGGCGGGAGGGCCGCCAGGCACAGGAGGGGCCTGCAGGGCTGTGGGGCACTCAATGTGCCCTTTATGCAGCCCTGGGATAGAGTCCCATTCAGGGCCAGGCCGGCGCCACCTAGGGGCCCTCCCCACACAAGGCCCAGAACAGTGTTCTCTCCTACCCTGGTGGTCCCTCCTGCCCGGAGCCTCCCTCCCAGGGCCAAATCTTCCTCTGACTCCATCTCTACCCTCTCTGCCAAAGCCATCCTCCTCCATCGTACCCTTCTCTTTCTGCTTCAGCCCCGCCTCCCTGGATGCCTTCGTCTTTAGCTACCTGGCCCTGCTGCTGCAGATAAAGCTGCCCAGTGGGAAGCTCCAGGCCCACCTGCGGGGGCTGCACAACCTCTGTGCCTACTGCACGCACATCCTCAGCCTCTATTTCCCCTGGGATGGAGGTAAGGGGCAGATGGATGGGGGGTGGGCATCGGCCCTGGGGGAAGTGGGCAGGGACCCAGGAACTGGCCCTCTGGCCCACCTTTCTTCCTTGTCCCTCAGCGGAGATGCCACCTCCACGCCAGACACCAGTAGGACCAGAGACTGAGGAGGAGCCATACCGGCGCCGGAACCAGATCCTATCCGTGTTGGCAGGGCTGGCAGCCATGGTGGGCTATGCCTTGCTCAGTGGCATTGTCTCCATCCAGCGGGCAACGCCTGCCCGGACCCCAGGCACGCGGGCCCTGGGCATGGCTGAGGAAGATGAAGAGGAATGATTTGTCCTCATGCTCCCATGACTGATTTTTCTACTCTCATGCATTCCAGAGGTCCCTGTGTCTCTCCACTGTTGGTACAGCCAGAAATGGGTGACACCCCCCTGCCCCCCAGAATAAACCTGCTCACATTGACTGGGATCAGACAGTCTGTCCTTTAAGAGGCCACCATTTTTCCTAGCTGGTGCCAAGGGGCCATCTGGGTGCCTTGACTAATTAGCTGCCTGTGCCCTGATGCTGACATTGCTCCTGCAAGGGCCTAGTTCTGCAGCTCCACGAGAGACACACTGTCCTCAGTTCTGGGTCCAGCTTTCCCGTTCTCTTCCTTTTCTTACCCTCCCTCCACCCCCATCTTGTGTTAGTACAGACAGTGAGCTCACCCTGGGCTTAGGCCCAGTTTCCACAGGCAACCAGCACAGAGCGCACACACAAAAGCTTGGGGGCAGGGGTGGGGGGCCACTGGGGCTTCCCAACCCTTTCCCGAGGGGCCTCCAGGCCCTGGCACCAGTTAGAGGGGAGAGTGAGTCACCCAAACCACTGCTCCTGGGCTTACGTCAGTGAAGCTCACCCCAGCCCTTCTGTACCCTCTGAGCCACAGATAGCATGTGAGCTGACTCTGTCCCTTTAATGCCCAGGTTGAGCCCAGGTGTCTGCTTGGGTATCTGCTCCATCACTGGCGACGCCACAAATAGGTGTGAATGGAGTAGGCAGGTGAGATAGTCTCCAGGAAGCCTACAGCAGGATCCTTGATGGTGAGAGGCACATCCTTGGAGGAGCTGGCAAGGGAAAGGAGAAGCTGAGTGCGATCCTGCCAAACCCACCGTCCTGTCCTCAGCCCAGTCCCCGGGCCCTGACGCCACTCTTACCGATTGAGCACCACCACAACTGCAGAGCCATCGGGATGCACCAGTGCCACTGTGTCCAAGTCGTTCTTCTCACTGGCTGCTAGCCCCACTCTCTGGGAGCCCTCAGGGATGAACTTGCTGAAGTGGGAACGGGCATCATCAGGAACCCCACCCCAGCCCCCATGGCCCTGAGAGTAGCTCCCGTCAGCTCATAACCCAAGAGGTCGTGCGCCCCTAAACCTTGCCAAAGCTCTGCCCTAATTCTCCAGGGCTCACGTGAGGCTGCCGGCATGCCCTGCCCTCCTGCCTCCCAGTCTCTGCTTCGGCATTCAGGGTTGTCTGTCTGATGCCATCAAGTCATCTCCTGCCTGGATGGTGCAAGAGACAGGCGTGCCTCTCCCAGGGTTCCCACCCTAAACACCTTCCTGCTCCTCTTACGGGGTGAGGGAAGGCAGAGACGCTAGGCCTGGTGTGGAGGGGGGTGCCCGCCGACCACTCGCTCACCTGAAGTGGCCAAGGTGGTAGAACATGGGCTGTTTGTAAAACGTGTCCTTGGCGATGTCCACAATAATGGGGCTGTCAACAAAGTTGCGCACCCAGTTGGGTCCCCCTTCAGGATTCAGGGCGAGGTTCCAGTCAGTCCAGCCAACCACATGGTAAAGGAGATTCTAGGGTAGGAACAGAGCAGAGGCTCCATACTGGGTCCCCAGATAATGTTAATGAGGTAGAGGGGCTACGGTGCCTCAGTCCTGTGAGCGGGGTGCTCTATATCCTAAGAGAGGTTGTGGGGATGGAGACCTCACAAGGGAAGCTGAGGAATGTGAGGCAGCTCTAACTGCTTGAGACCCAAGTGTCTGGAAAAAGGGTGTTGGGAAGTACAGATCTGTGAAAGGAAGGCAAGACGGAATCATGATATCCCAAAATGTGCCCCCAAGAGCAAGCCAGCGGGGGAGAAGTTGAAGAGGAGGGCCTATCATCAGCCTTTGGTGAGACTAGGACAGGTCAGGTGACCTGCTTTGTTCAAAGGGACACTGGTGGCTCACCGTGATGATGCTGTGGCTATACTGCATCCCTCGATCCCAGGAGCCTAGCCGAACGCTCTGTTCCCAGAACTTGGAGCCCACACAGGCCTCTGAGGCAAAGAGCATGGTGTCGGGGAACAGGCGGTGTGTCTCCCCGAGGGTGGATTTTGCTGGAGCCAGAAAGTCCAGGTACCAATGTACCGCGATGCCATGAACATACTTAGCTGCCTCTGGGTCTGCCAGCACCTGTACAGGGAAGGGGAAGGACCACTGGGAAAAGGGAGCCACCGAACCCAGCCCCTGTACGGAGGGTTCTGGCAGAGTCACTAGGGGACCAGGGAAATAGGCAGTGTGATGAATGCGACTGGGGTGGGGTATCCCAGGGGCCCTGGAGACCCAGAGGGGCTGCCACCACCCCGGCACTCCAGGGGCTGCCACCTGGGCACCTGGCTCGCACCCAGGGCGCTCTAAGAATCGAGTCAAGAGTTGGGGCAGGGAAGGCACTCTATCTGGAAGCCACTTATTTGGGTTCTGAATTTGAGGGTCATTAGGGTACCCATGGAGGTCCTGGGCCTTACCACCTGGGCCCAGCGGGGCAGCAGCAAGCGTTGGTCATCCAGCATGAGCAGACGGACATTGCGGTGTGTACTGTTGGCCAGGGTGGGACCCAGGTCACGGGCAATGAAGTCTCGCTGGTGTTCAGGGGTGAAGCCCAGGCACTGGAAGGGGTACCCACTAAGGAGCCCTGCAGAAGGCTCGTTCTCAGCTGTCACTGCCCAGAACTGTAACTTGTGCTCAGCATAGGCATCCAAGAACCTGGCCCGGGAAGAGCATGTTTGACCATGACCAAGGAAGGGGACCAAGACCCTGAGGAATAGGAGGCCCGAGGAGGAGGGGGAAAACTAGGGGTCCAAGTCTGAGAGACGCAGAAGGTAGAAAGGTGAGATGAGGAGAGTCAGGTTGAGACACAGACCATGACGGTCCGGAACCCATGGCCTTGCTGCTCCCTTACTTGACAAAGTATCTGGCCCAAGTCTGGTGGTAGAGGTCCCCCGGCTGACCCTTGAGCGACCCCCTCCCATTCACTGCCCCATTTGTCTTGAGCCAAGTGGGTGATGTCCAGGGACTGGCGAAGAGCGAGATGTGGCGCTGGGTCATCTTTAGGGCTTGGTGAATCAGGGGTATCTAGAAACAAAGGTAGTGAGGAGAGAGACACCCAGAGTTGGAACATAGACAGACTGGCCCAACCAGTGCATCAGGCCTAGCCACCCGCCCTCTCACCCCCAGGACAAAACAGAACAGGGTCCAAGTTCTGTCTCTCTGCAGACTTCTCTAGCCTGAGGCTTTTCAAACACTGGGCATCAGTGCCACCAGGGGCTGAGGAAGTCAGAGTGCTCACCTTGAGCTTGACATCTTCCTCTGAAAGGCTGAAGTTGTGCAACTGGAAGTCATCGGGGGTGTCAGCATAGGTGTAGGTGCGAATCGAGAAATCGCAGCTGGCCATGGGTACCCGAATGATGTTGTATTCAATCCCTGCAGAAAAAGACCAAGATCTGGAAGTCTGAGTCAACTGAAGAACGTGGGACCTGGCCTACCACTTACCAGTCCTAAATTATGTCTGGGCTCCTGGGTTGGAGCCTGTGTGTCCCACACCTGGGGGACACACAGGCCTTCTGAGCCTGTGAGTCCCCAACCACTCAGTGGAAGATGGGTAGGACAATCTTATTTAATTGAGCATTAAGAGAAGACTCAAGTGTCAGGGATGGGTGGCAGTCAGGGTCAAAGGAAGTGTAAAAGTCAATTGCACTATGTCATCTTGTCCCCCTCCTTCTCACCTTCTTCAGAGAAGTATGATTTGAGTAGCAAATTCCGGGCAGGGGGTGACAGGGCAAGGATATTGAGAGCAGCAGCATCTGTCATGGCCCCTCCAAATCCCTTCACTTTCTGGAACTTCTGATCCGGCTGCAGGGTCAGTATCAGCCCTGAGAACACACACAGGGTATCAAGGGTGTCAGTGCACGAGGGAGAAACCTTCTGTGACCCCCAGTGAGATTCCTCTCCAGGAGGACCCCAGCCTGGCTCAGGGGTAAAGGGTGTAGTGGTTACCTATGCCTGTTCGGTTGGGCTGGACGGTCCCTAGACTCAGCTCCATTCGCCGCCCGCTGCGTGTGCTCTCATAGCGCAGGAAGGTGCCAGGGGCAGGCAGGGTCAGAGGATCAAGAGAATCACAGTAGGTGGCATTGCACACACAGACCACTGAGCTGTAGCCAAAACTTTTAGGGCTGCAGGGGTGGGCGCCTGGGAGGGAGGGAGAGGCAAGGGTTGAAGGATGAAGCTGGGGGAACAGCACACTGGTCAGGAGAGATTGAACACGGGTTTCAAAAATCCTCTCATTGTACCCCCACCCCAAGCTTGTTTCCATCACTCAAAAGCATTTGTTGAGCACCTATTGAAGTCCACCACCAGTCTGCCAGAAGGATACCAAAGAACCATGAGGCCGAAGGGAGCCTTGGTGCTACCGCCCTCCTCCTCGATTCACTCACCTGATGCCCAAGAAACTGCCTGAAGCAGAAGCAATCCTGTGAGTCTGGCAGCCACGAAGCCTACCCTGCCCAGGGCCTTAGGGCATCCCTGAGAACAGAATGAGGAGTGGCAGGAAGGCAAGCCCCTCTCCGTTCCTCAGCTTCTCTCCTGGGCAGCCTAGCCTCCCTCCTCTAATAGGTAATGAACAGGCCCTCTGCTAGTGACAGCCCTCCCTCCAAGTGCTCTGTTAGTGACAGTCTCTGTCCACCCCAACTAGGACCCTCCTCCTGCCCTCCCCCCACCCATTTCTCCCTCGACTTGAACCTCCATAAAAATGCCATGATGACCTCAGTTCGAGGAGAGTTTGTCATTCATTTGAATTCCAGAACCTGGATGGCCAGGATTCCAGGGGCAGAGAGAAGATCAATTGGGAGCCCTGGCCCACTCACCTCTCTGGAAGGACTTGAAAGATCCATCACCAGATGAGGAGACTGCAGGGTTCCCAAGCCTCGGAGGGGACAGAGAGTCCACTAAGTAAAAACAGGGACACGGGTACCTGGGTAGCTGCAGATGCCGGATAAGTCTTGCTGGTTAATTCCGGCATAATAGAGTGGATGGGTCATGTGACGACTATGGGAGGGTCACATGATACAGGAAGTGAAGCAACTGCAACCATATTTGTTAAGGGCTACTGGCTTCCTCCAGGCTGTTGGTGATTATACACCCTGTGAAACCCTGGAAGGCATGC